AAAAGTTTGGTTTGGGAAGGATTTTTTGGCTTTTTTTATGAGAAAAGAGTGTAATGATTATGGATTGGATGTGATGTTTTATTTTTTGTAACTAAAATAGTCTATTTTGTCTTTTATGACTAAAATAACTAAAAAAATCCAATCTAACTCTTCTTATATGGAGCCTCAATTTGAAAAAATGCGGCACATCTTCAATTATTATGAACCGAAACAGCAACGAGATAAAATAAATTTTGTCCATGTTTTTATTATTCATATTGACGGGATGTGAATTTTTACTCATACCTAGTCATCCATTCTTAATTTCTTTCCCTTTTTTACATATTTATTTGTTTTTTATTTTTTAGAAAAGGACATGTTGCAGCCTTTTTTGACTAATTAAAATTAGGATAAGAAATACAATAAGTCTTATAAATTTGATATAATAACACTGACTTTCTTTTTAATAAAATTATACTAAGTAAAACTAATGCAGATAATACGTTAACACTGACATAACAAGGAAATACATATTTTAGTAGAATAAATATGACACCATCAGTTATTTATTCAAACAACTAATAAGTTATTACTGATGAAAAAAAAAGGTATATTATGTGAATTAAAATTTTAGAGAAATTAATATAATTATATTAAAAATTTAAGACTAAATATTTTTTCTCAAATCTCAAAAAAAAAAGTGAGTGCAATTTACCCCTAAAATTATTTATGTTTAAAAAAAATAACATAAAATTGTCTTAAATAGACAATCAAAAAAATTAATTTGAAATTAAACTATAACAAAACAAACATTTTTAAAATTTTATAGAAAATGGATTGGACTGATCAAACCACCAAATGAACTGAAATGACAATTTATTCTTTTAAGTTTTATCATTTTTCATTTTGGCTGTTAATTTGCTCCCCACTTTGATTTTTAATTTTTCTCAATTTACTCTAATGACAAACATTTCGTCCAAAATTGAACAAAATTTTCACATTAGCTATTTTTTTTTTCTTGCTTATGAGGATGTTTAGAATTTTTGGACCAACTAATTCTAAAAAGAAAAAAAAAAAAGAGCTTAGTGTTTTATATATAGAAAGGTAGTGTTTGGTAACGTTTACGTTTTTAGTTTATGTGTTACAAAAATTTTATAAATTGATTTTTGTTTATTTTTAGAAAAACATAAATTACAAATGCGTTTAGTTTGAACAAAATGTTTGAAATTTTTTAAAAACATAAACTAAAAAATATGTTTGTTCAGGCCTAAAATATTTACATTTATTTTTTATTATTTATGACAATATATTTATTTTTTATTATTTATGACAATGGGATCATACCTATTATAATTGAAAAAAAAATTTAATTCAAAAAAAATTATTTGAAATAAATATTTGAAAAAAAATTTGTTAGTCAAATTTTTAAATTTCTATTTGAAAACCAACGTAAACTCATTTTTTGAGTTTATATTTTTTCTTTAAATTTATAAACTGAGACAACCATTTATAAACTAAAAAAATTATTAAATAAGTTTTTATCTTAATTTTTAAAATTTTTGTAAATATAAATTAAAAACTAAAAATGAGATTGTTATCAAACAGATCCAAAATAATTGACTGGCCTAAGTTTTGGACGCACCCTTGAAGTGGATAATAATTACACCTACTAATAATTGAATTTTTAAAAAAAAAAATTGAAAAGAGAAAAAGAAAAAGGAAAAGCTTACCAACAAAAGACCAATTGCTTGAAAATCATAAAGTGGTTTTGCTGATAATTGCATATATGAATATGACACTAATAATAAAATTGGTGATAGTGATGTTCAACCACAAACAAGAAAAAGAATTAACATGAAATTAATAATTGTGATGTTGACTCTCAAGAAAAACAACAAGATTGACAATTAAGCCTCCGGTTTGAGAAGTAAAATTTGGGTTAAAAATAGCTATATGAGATAAAATAGGTTATTTTAGGTCAATAAGATAAAACATCACATCCAATTTATAATCATTATATTCTTTCTCTTATAAAAAAAAATTAAAAAAGTCAAAAATTCTTCCCAAATTAAATTTTTTAGTCTCAAGTTAAAATAGTTAAAAAAATTAAAAAATCAAAAAGTAAAAGTACAAAGACCAATTAAGGATGATGCCTTTTTCTTAACACAATGCTTGGAATATTGTTCACAGAAAATATAATGAAATGTTAGAGAAGAAACTCAATGTTAGAGAAGAAACTCAGGCCTCGTTTGAGAACAGGCTAATTTAGTAATTTTTTAACTACTTAGTTAAAATATGAGCTAAAAAAAATTAGTATGTTTGACTTTTTACGAAAAGATGTGCAAAAAGTAGAGAGAAAAGAGAATCTTTGACTTTTTGGTATGGGCTGTTGGCTTTTTGACTAATTAGGTCTCGTTTGTAAACCCTCCATTTTAGTCAAAAAGTTAAAAAGTTACTAAATTAGTCAAAAAGCCAACAATCCATACCAAAAAGTCAAATATTCTCTTTTCTCTCTACTTTTTGCACATCTTTTCGTAAAAAGCTAAAAAATCATCCCAAACATACTAATTTTTTTTAGTTCATATTTTGGCCAAATAACTAAAAAGTTACTAAATTAGCCTGTTCCCAAACGAGACATAGTAACTTTTTGACTTTTTTGATTAAAATTGAAGGTTCCCAAGCGAAGCCTGGTAGAGAAGATTCACACTTCACAGTCTATCATTATACTTTTTGTGACTCATTTTATGTTCTTAACACTAATATTTTCTTAATCAACAAAAGTTTACTTAAAATAGTCCATTCAAAAAAATTTCAAACCATCTGCTAGAGGTTGTAACAATCCAAATGATCCCACTACATCAGGACCCTTTCGACGTTGCACAAAAGCCATTACTTTACGTTCAGCTAGTACTAAAAAAGCTACTTCCAATATAAGTGGTAGAATTATTCCAAGTATTTCAGCTGCTAAGAATGCTGAAGGAGAGAAGAAAACCCATGCTTAACACACCTAACTCGTAGAATTACCGCTCACCGCAGAGGCGGCGGATAAAGCAGTGGATAACGTAGCAGATGATACGTACTTGAATATAACCGGATCATAGAAAAGTTTTTGGATGTCTGAGTTTCCTGAGTCTAAGGCATGGTTCTTTGGCCCTTGGGGTTTCTGATCATACTCCAATCTTGGTTACTATTTTGTCATCTCCGAGCACTGAACCTTCTGGACTCTCCAAAAATGCTGAAACACATGTTTTGCAATAAAAATTTAGAAAGGTAACATTTAGTTAACAATCTCCACCCTCTCTTCATTTATTTTTAATATGGGGTAAAAGCCTCCTACGAATCTTTCATTTTAATTAAATCAAAAAATTTATAAAATCAAACTATAGCACGTGATCAATTTCAATTCTTCAATCAATAAAATAGAAGAATTTGATTTGGTGTTAATTTTTTTTTTTCAATTTTGTCTAAACCAAACCAATTACACGCCTCATTGTAAACAAGGGGCACAAAATTACTTATACCTCTATGTTTTTTGTGATTATTTTAATTTCTTCCAACTAATTTATAATTCTCCCTTAAAAAAAAATGCACACAAAGACAAAACGATCAAAAAAAAAAAAACTTAAAAAACGAACTAAAAAGCTATTAATCTTGCATGTTAGAAGCTAAAAACCAATAATTAAAATATAAGAGTTAAAAGTGTTCCAACTCCAGTTTCTCAATAGAGCCTTCATTTAGAATGTGAATTGACTTTTTGATTTTTTAACTATTTTAGCATGAGGCTAAAAAGTCTCATTTGAAATAAGGGTGCAACTTGAGCGGGTTCAGTCGGGTTGAAAGTTTGCCCAAGCCCAGCCTGAATTGTGTTTGGAAGTACTCAAGCCCGCCCAAGTCCGACCATTAACCCGAACATGGCTGCCCAAGTCCGGACCAAGCTTCATAATTCAAACTCGGGTTAGCCTAAATTTTCCGAATTTCACAAGGCAACAAATAGCTTCTGAATTTTTCCATACAACAAACGGTGCTTTATTATATACATAAGTCCATTAGTCCATACAACAAACTTAAACATCATCTCAGCCATAAGAATCTCATAGAAATGGAAGAAAGAATAAATAAGGTAGAGTTTTGTTTTTAGTTTTACTCTAATGATCCAAATAAAAGATGTTAATCCAAGGGCCAAAGACTAGCCAAAAAATAAAAAAACAAAAAGAAATTAAGGAATAACTATTTAATTTATTTTATACATATATTATATAATTTATATAATATATTAAATGTAATTCGGGTTCGAGTTGCTTGGGTTAGTCACTGACTCTGTCCAGGCCTGGCCCGAATCACAATTCGGGCATCAAAAATTTGCCCAGCCCCATCCAGATTACAAGATATTATTGCCCAAGCCCTAAAAAAAATTGGGCTGGGCATAGGTTACTCGGGTTGAGCCCGCCCGAGTTACACCCCTAATTTGAAATGAACTTTGACTTTTTTGACTTTTGTGCGAGAAAAAATAAAATGATTATGATTTAAATGTGACATTTTGTCTTATTTTTTTTTTTAACATATTTTATCTTTTTATGACTATCTTGTTTGGCAAGTGCTTGTTTTAGCCTAAAAGTCAAAAAGTTTCTAAAAAAATTAAAAAACTTATAACCTATACCAAAAAGTCAAAAATTCATTTTTCTTTCTACTTTTTACATATTTTTTCATAAAAAGTTAAAAAATTATTCAAAACATACAAAAAAATTTTACTTTATATTTTAACCAAAAAACCAAAAAAGTTACTAAACGAGCCTAGGCCAAACATAGAATTTGGAAATTTTTTTCTATCACCTACGCACACAATGAAAGTGCAGCCGACATCAATAGATGAGAAGACCGTAGAAAATGGAGTCCAGAACTGGTTTAAAAATACCGCGCAATTAGTATACATTAATATCATTTTTTGTCTCATAAATTGTATTACAAGTAAAAAATGTATCAAATATTTTGCATAACATTGAAAATAATATTATCAAAAAAAAAGAAATAAAAAAAGAAAATGCCCCCCAATAAGTTGCACCAATACCCTCTGTTTCTGATATACAATTGGACATGAAAACCAACCAACCAACCATACATTATGCCTAAACACTGCAACTCATTCACCAGTTTTATTCACCTCAGCTACTCCCCCAGTTATACAAAACAACATCTTATCTCTCTTCTTCATGTTTATATTTGACGGTTGATTTTACAGCATTTCGAAAAACCAATCAAAGAAGCGGAAGTTTAAAATAAATAAAAAATAATATAATGCACGAGGCCCTCCCAAAACAGTATGGCCATGTTTGTTTGGGCGGACTGGATTAGCATTCCCATGATTAATAGTCCTAGGACTACGAATCCGTTAGATTATGTATCCTATCTTAACTAATAATTAAGTTTAAAATAATTAATCCGTATTTCAATTGTTTGACCAAACATCGGATTAATAATTTTATTGGATTATTAGTCAAATTCCAAGTTCATGTCCACCCAAACAAACATGACCTATCTGTATAGAGCAAGATGTACGCTACTTTACCCTTTACTCTAATTTCCGGAGAGACTGTTTCTGTGACTTAAACCTACACTTTGATGGCACACACGGCAAGCCTGTACCATTAGGCCGGCCAAGCTGCTCTTTCAAGAAAGAAAACAAAAATTGACAACACACTGAACTAGGGTTCGATACAAAAGGCAACCCCCAGAGAATTATAGTGTACAAGAATGAGCAAGCAGAACCATCTTCTGGGGAAATCTGGAACAACTTACCAAAGAGATTGCTCATTCAGATGAGCGCAAACAGCCTCCAGGAAGAAGGAATTTGTACTTTTCTGCATTTTCTATCAAGTAAGCCGGAAGATGAACTGCTGAAGCCGATTGAGGAATCGATCCCATCTTCTTAATCAGTTCCCGGAAACTATACTCCTCTGGTAGCATATCAAACAGATCATCTCCTTGACAAATGAGTTTCTGGATTCGAGCGTAGTTCAGAAATTCTTTATGCCTCACCCGGTCTGCATGGCTATATGCAGTCATTTTGAACACAAAATCTCTTAGATGTCGGAAGCAGAAACTACAATGCCATCCGGCGTCAGAGAGAATGAGATCAGTTGCGCGTGAATGGCGATAGAAGGTCCATGGGTTGTAAATATTGACCGTGGCCCGCCAGCTACTATAGTCTACAGGGAATTCAAAAGAGTACATGTAGTTCCTCAGCTCGAGATGCAACACAGGAGGTACACCCTCACACCATTGGAGTAATTTCACGGTGTGTAGGCTCGGAATCTCATCAGTGTCTGACATAATAAGCAGGTCCCCATTGGAAATACCAGCACGACGAAGCAATCCGTTCATGGCTCTACGTTGTTCTGATTCAAGCACAAATGGGTCTTCGTGGGACCCAAGCGACGAAGTCCGGCCACGAAACACACTGTGAATGATCTTTCCCTCGGCAAAAGAAAATCGGTCGCGATTTGCAGCGAAGAGCAGAGGCTTTGGGATACTGGTGAAGGTGGTGTTGGCTTCGAGTATTACGAATTTTGTCACATAGGGATTGAGTTCACGCCACCGAATCTCAAGCAAGTCGAGCTCGTTGCTAAAAATGATGGCATCGAAGACACGGCGGGGTTCAGAGCGGAGCGACCAGCCATGGAGACGGCAGAGATGGTCCATAGACACGTTCTCAGCATAGTAATGTGGTAGGTGTCGGAAGGGCGGAGGGGCTTTATCCCAAAGTGGGCGGAAGAAATAGGTGATCTTAAGGCCATGGTTGAAAATTCCAATTACACAAATTGGCACGAGTATCAGGGGTAAGATTAAAAAAAGCTTGCGAGGAGATCGTCTGGAGGTGAGGCGCAGAGGTCGTGGGGCCATGCTATGAGGGAATGATCACGAGGAGATCCAAAAAACATGGCAGTCCCTAATCATGCTTCTGCCTATCATTATCATCTGCATGATGGAGTGGGTTACAGGCTAGAAACCGAATAATTTGTGTAAGCATAGAGAGATACAACATAGAAAGAGGAACCACCAACAAAATATGTGAAAAATTCAAAGGAACTTCCTCAAACATTGTCAAAGTTGATAACATGAAACACATTACTTTTCAATAAATGTTAACAGATAATCTGTTCTAATAAAGACCGGTCACTACATACATACTGAGATGTGTAAAAGATAATCACAGAGAATCCAAAGCATATGTTTGGAATCTTAGCAATAAGAATATTACAAATCTCAAATAAGTTTTTAACAGATTTCTCTCTACAAATCCCATTACTGGGTTGAAAAACAAGTGCAGTATTCTCAATAAAACAAAAAATACTCTGTTCCCAGCGAGAAGAATGTCATAGTTCCTAGTTGTCAATGACTACAACATGAAGCGCTCATTTTATGCACAATATAGAATATGCTAAGTACATGAGTTATTGACAATATCTAGGCAACTCTTATCTATAAAATAATACACCGAAGAGTAAGTTAACAGAAGCAACTTTGCAATTAAGAACAAGCAAGCAGAGGGGACCAAACAAAAAAGAACAAAATTTAAAAATCACATATAAAGTTAAGGAAATCACCTACATTAGTAAAATGTCGAATAGAAAACTCATAAGTTGCTTCAAAAGAAATCACCTATCTTGTGCCATGCTATAACAGGGCTAGGCTCTTATATGGCTTAAATAGATTGGATTTGAGGTACTTTCCACATGCAAGAACACTTTGCTTTCATGAATTCTAAATGCAAGATCACTTTATTTTCATGAATTCTAAATGCAAGAACACTTCTATGTCCACAATGAAAGATAATGTATATACAATATAACGAAATCTTTATCTAGCAAAAGTTCTCAATTCAACTTTGAAAAGTTTAACAAGTAAGGGCAGCCCCAAGTTAATACTTTGTTTTGATATAAATTAAGCTTCCTACGGCTAATTGATGGTGTTTTAAAATGAAAAATTTAAAGAATTGCTCACTCTATAACTTTAAGATGGACATTGGACAGCTCCTAACTATTCCTGTCCATGCAAGTGAGACAGCTATCAGATACTTATCAATAGAGCATCATTACCAAAACTCTCTGGGGTCAATGCTTCCCTTGCATTGGGATTCATTGGTTCCTCACTCCATGTTTGGAAGTGTTCTTGATTCCCAGAATTACAAGGTTTGGAATATCAAAAGTGCAGTGATTGTCAGAAGAGGAATCACTGAAGGTTTGAATAGTTTTACTGCTAAAATCCTAATCAATATTCACCCATGAATGCTTATTGTTAAAACCTATCACCTACTTCATCCACTAAACCTAACCCACTACACCACTACCACCTCACCTACTCCACTAAACCTAACCCACTACACCACTACCACCTCCACTTCACCTACTCCTTACCTACTACACACTCACCCTCTTCTATATATAGGAATCATGAATCATTGTAATAAATATCAATCAATAATAATACATACAATTTATTCTCTCTCTTTCTCTATACATTATTTCTTACACTTATAAAAATTGCAACACATGGTCACTAATCAGCCTCATGTACTCCAACAAAACCCATGAGGTTCAGACACTAACTTCCATGAAAATGGCAGAAGCTCTTGCAGCAGTAAACTGCAACTTTAAAGCTGGGTACTCACATGTTTCTACCTTTCCAAGATTTTTCTTCACCGAAAAAAAATTCCCCACTTTGTTGGTTGTGATGACTACATATGCAATCACAGTTTATTCTTTGATAAACCAAGTAATGGATGGCATTAAGCTAAGAAATGTACTAAATCCATCTTTTTCTTTAGATATTTGGTAATAACTACCATGAATACAACTTACCCAAAAAAAAACTACCATGAATACACAAGAACTATAAACTGCTGTAGCTTTTACTCATACTACTTATTACTGAACTTCACTGTATCTCTACACCTGTCTATATATAATAATGATTTGCAGATTATTACCTGATATTGCTTTTCAAGCTAATTTAATCAATGTATTGCATGTAGGAAGAGTAATTCAATAGAAACAATGACAATATAATTTAGATAAAAACATCAAAATTATTAATTACAGAAAAGGTGTTTTTCTCATAATCATTAACATATACATCGCATCCAAGGGGATCTTTATCAATGTGATCCATATTATGAAAAATGATGGATCACATAAGGTTCAGTATCCCCATAATCCAATTTGATGTGAAATGTTGTGAGTGTAATGTACAAGTAATTATCAAGAAAAAATTAAATGTGGTTAGGAGTAAAGTTTATGGACCTGAACATACATGATTGACACATGGTGACTGAGATGCTCAATCTTTTCCTTATGCAAGGGGGACTAAGCTCTGTAAGGTAGGAAAAGGAATGTTTGACATGAATGGGGACATATATTAGATTAAGCAAAAACACAAGAGTCTTAGATAAATAGTAAAAATAACTCCAAATATTGCCCATATGAATTTAACTGGGAATACAGAGAGAATGATAGAAGAGAAGAAGAGTTGCAACTCTATCCACAACAATGTCTCAATGAGTGAATATATAAACAAGGATTTGAACAAAAGAAATATTTGGACCGATGGCGATGTGAAATTCATGTCACAGACGAGACTCACTTTGAAAAGAGGTGTGTAAACTATAAATTACATAGTGCTTGATGTCCAATACATTCGATAAATTACAATTTACCATAGCACAAATCTAATACTCATTCCAAGAAGCCAGACACTGGTTATGTCAAGATTATTTCATTCAATACGAAAATATATTATCACCATATACATTACAGAAAATCACCTATCACATCTTTTGGGGCAAGATAAGATATAAAATAAAATAAAGGATATATAAAGCAGCAAGATTTTAGCTTTCATTTCATGTGCCAATTACCAAATGAAGTAATAGCAATCTAACAGTAGTCCATTTTAAAATTGTGGAAGCTGGGATGTGAGACTGGATTTATAATCCAAATACTAACCAATCATAATCCAATCTAACAGTAGTCTGGATTACAAATCCAGACAACCAAAAACAATCATCAGATTTGCCATGGAGAAAAGTCTCTAAACACTCTTCCAAGAAACCGATCCTCTCCACAAATCAACCCACCAGGGTAATTTAAAAATTGCAGCAGTAACCAACAAACTACGAATAAATAGTAATATAATAAGGTGATCCAACAAGAAGGGTCATCCTTAACCTTACCTGTCATAAGTAGGTTGGTCATCCTTCATGTTTTGACAAAAGAATATATTCTAGCTTGGAAATTTGTCCAACTACTGTTTTTGTTGAGTAAAAATGAACTGCCTTAAAGGGGGCAATTCAATAAGTGGCAAGACATGTAGCCTCTTTCCTTACAGTCAACAAATTATTATGAAAATAGATCATCCAATCAGGTTCCATAACCGCTTCTAAAGAAACCATTTGAGAAATCACTCAACAAAATTAAGGAGAGGAAGATATGCATCAATGGATGCATTGCTTCCACCCAGTTTGGATTTGGACTCCCATAAATGCTACCATGTACAAAAAGAAATTCCAAAACATTTTTGTAGACCTATACTTTGTTCACTTTGCATGATATCCTAGGGATGCAATTTCTAAAATTTGCATTGATACACTTAATAGCCATCATCCCACAATTTCCCAGGATGAAAACAAATTAAGCATAAAAAAGAATCAGGGCCAAGCCCACTTGTAATCAGGCAGCTGAGACCTTTGCCATAATCTTACACTGGCTTTGTTATAATAAAAGGTTGAAATACCAACTTTAATCAGGGTCAACAATACCACTTTTATTTTTAAACCAGAGCATTTGTATAATCTTGCCCAGGCTTTCTAGCTGTGGGGATGAAATACCCCCTTTTCCAAAGGGTTCTGGTCCAGATTTCTCAATCTCCATTTCAAACAGTAACTTTTTTTTTCTTTTTCTTTTTTTTCCTCCAAAAACTTCAGACAAGAATCTGCAAAATTGCACCTCTCTGTACCTCGCATATGCTTTCATTAGTTGGTTGCAAACATTTATTTCTTCACATAGAGCTGCTCCATAGCTGCAACGCAAGTTTTGTTTCCGTTATTAATTGTGATTTCTCCAACCCTGCTGATATTATCCTTCATGGCCCCAACAATCATATCACATTGGGCACATTCTGTGGTATTATAAACAGAAGAGATTGAATTTTTTTTTCTTCTTCATGTTAGTGGCATCTTGCTAATTCTTTAATCAGTGGCAGTTTAAGGCTGCAAGATTGATGGAATCCTGTACTTGTAAAAATATTGGCATGCATACTATATTCTTCAAAATTACTACTTCATTGACGATGAAGAAATTGTCTGGGAATCCTCTTTGAATGGAAAAACAGAGGATCTTAACAACACATTTAGCGAACAAAACCATGTCTATAAACCCAAGAAATTTATGTAAAATACAGTTTATTGTGCCAGAGTATCAGCAAACCTTATGCACTTTGTATATAAATTACCAACTAAAAGAGAACAACAGTTGGAAATTGTCAATACAAATCATTTGAGCTCTCTCAGCTACAACTAAAATCAAAACAATCAATCATCTATTAACTTGTGACCAAAGCACTGAGAAGAAAAAAAATAAAATAATCCAAGACAGTGAATTAGAACTGTTCAGATTGAAAATCGATCAATAGAACTTGTCCATAATTAAGCAAAAGCATTCAATCCAAAAAAACACACACACATACACAAGGAATTCGAAATGTATTAAAACAGAAACCCTAGCCAAAAACTGAAATCACAATTCATAAAATCTAGTGTATAATTAGCTCAAATTTCCAAAAAAATAGCGTTGACGAACACACACGGCAACCAAATCGACCAAAAAAAAAAAAAAAAACTCTAAAAAATCGGAATTTATAAACACTAGAGTATAAATTAGGATTCACGAATCCGAAAAACAAACGAAAGATTACATAGATTACCTATCTCAAGTTTCAAAAAGTCATGAATCGACGACGACGAAAACACACGAGACTCCATCGAGCGAGTGTGCACATATACATATCCACATATATATATATATGTGTGTGTATATCTACATCTATATATCCTAAGCTCTGTATTGGCCTCTCTTGCAAGGAGCTGAATGTAGAGAGAGAGAGAGATGAGAGAGAAAACCTTGGGGCCTCCGCGATGAAAGAGAGAGGACCAGAGAGGAGAGGATAGGACACAGAGGGCTGTAATGGTAATGATCGGTGCAGGGATTGTCTGCGTTTGAGACCATAGAATTACACAAACTCCTCTAATATGAGTTTGACACGGGTGCATAAGTTGGGATGTAGTCTTGACATGTTGAATATTAGGGGCTATGGTATAGTGGTATACCGTGAGGTGTAGTGTAGGGTAAAACTTTTGCTCTATCTGAAAATTTGTATTTGGAAGTCACGTGGCTTTCACATGTTGAATTAGTCGTTGATGAAATGAGTGACTGGATGACGTGAAAAGACCAATTTGCTAAGCAAGAATTGTTATTCTTTTTTTGGTATAATTTCAAGAAGTAATTGAGTATGGTTTGAAAGAAACTCAGTGATATAAAAATGATAATAATCAGTTGAAAAATGCTTGGGAGCACTAATTAGTGCTCCCACTAATTAGGTGGCAGTGGGTCCCGTCATTAATGATGTGATGTTTTGGTTTTGGAGTTGTACTTTTTTTTTATTTTTTTATTTTTTTAATGCATTAGTGCTATTAGTGGTGATATTTTTAGTGGGATGAATCATTGTTGAATAAAAAAATACGAAAAATAAGAAAATAAAATTTTTTGAAAATATATAATTAAAAAGTATAATATTTGTAAAAAAAATCTTTAAAAAATATATTAAATACTAAAAAATATAAAAAAAATACAAAAATTTAGTACATTTTTATATTTTTGTGTATTTATTATTTTTTTTAAAATATTTTTTCACAAATATTTTATTATTTAGATATATTTAAGTAAAGTACATCTAAAAAAATAAAAAAATTACTTAAAATTTAAAAAATATTCACTAAAAACAAAAAAAATACAAAGAACAAAAAACTGAATTTTTAAAAAACTGAATTCAGAAAACTGAAACCAAATAAACTGAATAGGTTTTAGGACTAATATTAACTCAATGATAATACCCAATCCAAAAAAAATTGTTTTAACTCAATTATCAGTTTTTTGAACATATCATAGGAATACCCTCTTTCCATGATAATTTATAATGGAATACAATGCAGATACTGAATGTCAACATAATTTTCGGATAGGATTAGGATTTAATACCACTAGATACAGTTATTGTAATTAGTTTCCTGCTAAAAGTAAGAGAGCTCAATGTTTATTATGCAATATAATCTATTGTATAGTTTGTCTAGAAAAATTAAATATAACACACAAAATAACATTAGAAAGTAACGATGAGATGCGAGAAGATCACAGTATAGAAAGCAAAGAACTACATTTAACAATCAGAGAAATAGAAATACAAATAAGAGAACTTAAACTATAAATACGTGAGATAGAAACTAAAACTAATTTTGACATAGACTATTTAGAAGCAAAAAATAAATAGCTTTAAACAGCAGATATAACAATTTTATACTAAATACCCTTTAAAAGATAAATTTGTTGAAGAACATATGCACTCCTTAGAATTAGTCAATCACGTTGATTCTCAACCCTTTAGTCAATATTCCCAAGCACAATTCGACAACACATATTTACCATTTAATTACTCTGTCATACCCAAGCCAAATTTAGTTGAAATCTCTTGTGTAATATGATAGATACCAGAGCCAATAAATCATATATTGAACAACACATAGTTCCATCAGGATGGAGTACAGCTTTAACAATCCCGGCTTTAGTCAGTATAGCCAATGGCATTAAACAAACATATACAAATTGCATCAATGGAACACAAATTAGTTTTCATCACATAGGTTCTCAAACTCAACATATAGAGTGGTTCCTTTTGTTGGATCAATCTTCTGTGTAAATAAAATAACTTGAAATAAATTCAAACAAAATAAATAAATAACATACCGGATTTATTTATCGAATCGAATTAAAATTAAGACCAAGTCGAGTGTGAGACACTCTGTCCTTAAGACAGATTTGCCCTGCTACGGTGCTTACGGTTGAGTGGCGTCTGTCTCCCAGGATACAATGATCTTCACAAATTTATAGTAGCACTTCAAATAAATTTGTCCGGCGAACTAGAACCTTGTATTCTATAACTCTCTGAAATTTATTCCTAATATTTTATATGAAGAATAATGCACTAAAAGAAAATGGACAGCAAAGAGACAAGAATTTCAGACTGAATTTTTCAGATCCCATGGACTGCTGAAAATAGATTTTATTTATAGGCAAACAAAGTTCCCGAACAGGTGCAACAAATTTAAATGAACTGATGCCCTTTCTAAAAGAACAAATGCACAAGTTGTATTCAAATAATTCTGATGGTTGAACCAAAATTCAAAAAAGTGTCCGTTGGTTAAACGCAAGAACAGTTTGGAACTTTATTTAATAACTATTTGAAATATATATATATATATATATATATATATTAAACTAATGGAAAACATTTATTAAACTATTTTGAATAGTTTAATCATTTTTTAAGAAACCACAATTTGAATTTAGAATTAAATTAAATTCCCACAATAATTTTTATTAAAAAAATTCAAATGAATTTTATCTAAAAAAATTAATGTTAGATCCGAAAACGACGTTAACTTTCCATTCACTCATAAATAGTTTTGACGTTCCGTCTTCACCGTGTGACTTGCCACGCGGCAATGAACACTTTACCTCTTCGGACCCACCCCAAAAGACGTTTGGGGCCCACTCAAATTGAGCTAAAAAATATACCTATATTAAACCATTTTTCCAACAATCCCCCACATGAATGGAATTTGACGGAGAGAAAATGCAACAACATGATCTAATTATAGAGAGTACAAAAATTGGTAATATTCTGAAAATGATAGGTAGCTTTTGGCTTTGAACCATCCCTTGTGAGACACTATCGGATTTACTAGCTAAACAGTGAACATGATGTCTTGAACTGTTTAGCCGTTTGTGTAAACCAGGACAATAGAACTCACACAGTATATTCCCAGACACAGTTTAGTTCTCACTATTGTGTTCATTTTGGCCCTGAACAACCTAGTTTTTCATAAGTGCTCTAAAGACTTGTAGCCCTTCACAAATCTTATAGAACCGGCCCAGTTCACACTCACATAGGTGATTCTTATGAAGAGTATCCTGCCATACTCCATTAGGTTTACCTAGATATAAGAATCATTAAAATTTTACTTAACCTTTAACGTTGCAGGCATCACTATTTCATCAAAGAAATGGGTAGGAGTTAGACTCCCCAGTGATCCTTCTGAGTTATTCACAACTCGGTTGTCCCTTTGAACCTAGATCTTAGGATCTCCAGTCAACTAGGTTGGGTTGCTGTTGTGGTAACTCTTATTCAATAGGCTTAAGTCCCATTCCCCTCGATGAATTCTCAACTAACTCTCTTGTTAACCCTTTGGTTAGTGGATCTGCTATGTTGTCTTTAGACTTCACATAATCAATGGAAATAATTCTATTAGAGAGTAGTTGTCTTATGATATTATGTCGACGACGAATGTGTCGTGACTTACCGTTATACATATGACTCTGTGCTCTACCTATAGCTGATTGATTATCGCAATGTATGCATATAGCAGGCACTGGTTTTGGCCATATTGGAATATCTTTAAGGAAGTGGCGAAGTCATTTTGCCTCTTCCCCAGCTTTGTCTAAAACTATGAATTCAGATTCCATAGTAGACCTAGCAATACAAGTCTGTTTGGAAGATTTCCAAGATACAGCCGCACTACCAAGAGTAAAGACATACCCACTGGTGGACTTCGAGTCTCTAGTATCCAATATCCAATTTGCATCACAGTATCCTTCAAGTACTGCTGGATATCTAGTATAATTAAGCCCAATGTTACAAGTAAATCGAAGATATCTTAGAACCCTTATAATTACTTTATTTCAATTTATCAAATTAGACCCGGAATAAGCTGTTGGAACAATCTTCTATGTAAATAAAATAACTAGAAATAAAATCAAACAAAATAAATAAATAACATACCGAATTTATTTTGTCGAA